ATTTTTTTTTTTTTTTTTTTTAGGTTTTAATGGTGTGTTACTATCACTTTGATGTGGGAAGTCTTCAATTCTCCAGTGACCTTTAATTGCTCCAATGGGAGTATGTGTATCTAAGAGAGAACCTTGCTGGTTAGGATAAAAGGGGAGTAGATGCACCTACTACAAATACAATGGCAAAAGCCATTGAGGAGTTCTGGCAAATTGCAGGAGTGTTAAATGCATATTCAACTAAGAATATGGGTGACTGGTGACTGGAATGCAAAAGTTGGAGAAATGAAGGATCCTGGAAGTTAGTAGGTTAAGGTGAACCTGAGGAGCAATGGTAATAGAAAAGAATCATTGCAAAAAATGATAGGAAAAAAAAACTCACAGTTTTAAAGATTAAAAGATCTAAGTAGTTTTCAGTGCAAGTTATTAGGGAAAGCTTGTTACCAATAGAAGAGAATATATGTAGCTCAGGGTTGAACTGTGGAGTCCTTGGGTTCTCTGAGCTTGGTTGTTTTCTTGCAAACATTTTGTTACCTGACTTGGTAACATCTTCATTGCTACAATGGAGTGGGGTTTGCTCTCTGTTTATATACAGAGAGCTTATATACAGAGAGCAAACACCACTCCATTCTAGCACTGAAGATGTTACCTAGCCGGGTAATGAAATGTTTGCAAGAAAACAACCAAACTCAGAGAACCCCAAGAAAGCTTGTTAGCTAGGCAGAGAAAGGAGGATGAATGCCTTGGGTAATAGGAAGAACGTATGACAATGCATACTTTTGGGATACAGCAAGAAAGGACAAGGAAAGCTGTCTCAACCAAGAATTTAACTAATAGAAGAATATGGCAAGAAAAGGAAAAAGATATACTTTTAACATCAACCAAAGTAAAACTAACAATTATGATCATGAGTAATGAGGTAAAGAGAGATGGAAAGGCTATACTGAACCCTTTTAAAAATAGGATTATAGAATGTAAGGAACATTCCCAGAGAGAGAAACTATTCAATAACTCCACTAGAAAGAGAGAGATGGGAGACAATAGAGCAGCTGTCAAAGAGGAAAGCACCAGGTGCACAATTGTTTAAAGCTTCAGGAGAAAATATTAACAGCTGTATGTCAACAAAGACTGTGATTAGAAAAGAAGTGTGTATATGCCATGCCAAAAAAGGAAACGTGAGGGAATATGAAAATTAATAAGCTATTTTACTTCACACAGGCATAATTTTGCTGAAGATCTCACAAAAAATTGAGCCATACATCAAGAGACAAATGCCAATTGAATCATGAAGAAAATAAAATGCAAGGAAAATGTATCTTTTTTCACTGTAAAGCAAAACCTTGACTGTATAGGTCTTGCAAGAATGTGGAATGTATTAAGACTAGGGTGTTTTCCAGAATATTGGATTATTATTCTGATAAATCTTTACAAGGATGCATATTGGTCTACATATCTGTTGACTTTATAAAGCAAATATACAAATGGCTGAACTGAAGAGGATGAAAGCTGGAATCAAAACTGGAGCTCAAAATGTTAAATTATGCAGGTAACACCACTTTGTTAGCTGAAAGTAAAGAAAACTTAGAAGAGGTTGCTATGAAAATAAGGAATGTCAAAATTTTGTGTTAATATAAAATATTAAGGAGACAAAGGTCTGTGTACTTAGTCATAGCTGATGGTGAAGAAGATGATCATTTTATTTTTGGTGCTCTAGAATAAAGATGGGTAGAATCTTGCAGAAGTAAAAAGGGGATTAATTCTAGGGAGGAAGGCAATTACAAATCTTATTAATTAGATAATTATAAAAATATTTCTATGACAACAAAGATCAATGATGAATACTTAATGGTACAGTGGTACCTCTACTTACGAATGCCCCTACTTACGAAATTTTCGAGATACGATTAGCTCCGGCCCCAAAAATTTACCTCTACTTACGAACTCACCTCTACTTACGAACCATTTTCCGCCCGTTCCACGTGGTCCACGGCCATTTTTCCGCCCGTTCCACGTGGTCCACGGCCATTTTCCACCCGTTCCACGTGGTCCGCGGCCATTTTTCCACCCGTTCCACGTGGTCCGTGGCCGTTTTTCCGCCCCTGACACGTGGTCCGCGGCCATTTTTCCGCCCTGCCGCGTGGTCAGAGGCCGTTTTTCCCCCCCGACGTGTGGTCCGCGGACGCCGGAACGGATTGACGGTAATTACATTGAACCTTATGGGAAAATTTAATTCGACTTGCGACCAACCCGACTTGCG